TGACGTGTGAGACACTCTGCTAAATGCATTACCTCATTCAATCCTCACATAACCTCATGAAGTAAGAAGTGCTATAATTCCCCATTTTACAGGTAGGGAATCAGAAGCTCAGAGAGACAAAGCAACTTGCTTATAGCCACTCAGCAAGGAGGTGGCAGAATTGGGATCCAATTATAGGCAGTCATGCCATCACACTCAACTGTTAGGCTACATTGCACAGATACGATCACTTGTGTTCTTCTAAGACACTACCAGCATGCTACTCTCTACACCTGGGGCTGCTAACAGCAAACACCTGCGATTCTTTGCCTGCAGCTTATTTTCTGGTTGTAGGAGCAGGCACGGCGCACAGGGCACATTGAAAGTGCTGGTGGGTGGATTTCCCTGGGAGCAGCCCTTAGCCTGCAATGGAAGGAGAGCCAATGGATAACCCCTCAGCTTCCTGTCCCTTGATTGGGAAATTCTGAGGCATGCATTCTGCACTGACTAGAGAGTTCTCCAGCAGGGTTAAACCCTAGCTGCCCACAGCAGTAGCCTGCTTGATAATACTTTCCTGGCTTCCCACCTTTTCTGGCAATGCTGCTTTATTAACTTATGGTGCTTCCAGGATCACCTCCCAAATAAAGTACTTGCACTTGAATCCTTATAGTCTGTTTCTGGGGAAAACTCAAACCCGGGACAACCAGCGGCTCTGGGACCTTGAAAAGTTACTTAAACCTCTGTGGGCCTCAGTTTCTTCATTTGTAAAAGTAAAATGGCGTGATAACAGTACCTACCATTCTAGGTTGTTGTAAGGATTAAATTACTGGAGTTAATATTTGCAAAGCACTTAGAATCCTAAATGGCACACAGTAAGCACTTTGTTAAATAAAAACATTTTAAGACTCTGAGAAATCCTACTGTGAGCCATCCAAAACGGAGTCTTCTCTTCCCAAGCCCACGGCTGACTGAAAGCCCCCTAACCAAACAGAGCCAGCTCTGACGTTCTGAAGTATACCACGTGTGGCAACTGCACCAAGCTCACACTCCCATGAAATTCTATTACCCCAATTCTAGCAGCTCGATTTTACTATCACTCAGAATTCCTCCAGATAAGAGGCTTGAAAGTAATTTCTGAGTCATTCCGGGTGCTAATTGGTTATCGCCCAAGGATTACATTTCTCACGTTCAAGGTCAACTGAAATTCCTCTGTAAGCCTGAGAATAATTTTCGGTCTGTTGGAAACATTTTTTTTAATCAACAACTACAGTATGGAGCGATTATAATTCAGGCATAAACAAGCTTTTGCAGGCTCTTGCTAGAAATAAAGGGACATAATTTGTTGCATGCGGACAAAACAGTCCCCTATTCCAAGCCAATTACCGGCCCAGACAAATGCACTGTTTGCGTAGAAAATCTTTTCCTTGGTGTTCTGAAATGTCACCCTGGCTGCCCCAGGACAGAATAAATCATTTTGTAAAACTGAGACTTCACTGTATACAAAAAAATACTGGCCTTGTGTTTTTCACCCTTAATAGTACATTTCTATAACGGCAGCAAATGGATACTTCACCAGCAAGTTGGGGGAAAGCGATGGAAAGTGTTCTCTGGAAGGACGGCCTTCCTGTCTTAATTTTTATCAAACAGCATCCAGTTTTTAGTTCTGCTTGGAGGGAAGATGCTTTTATCAGTTCACTTGGGCTTGAGTCCAAGACTTTGGGAACAAGTCTCTGTTATCAAGGTCACTGGAGAATGACTGACAAGCTCAAGGCCAATGTGTCCGTTCCACTTGTTTCCAGGAAGGGAGGACCCCACTGGGTCAGAACTATCACTATCTTCCAGCATGTAGGGAAGGCACAGGTTCAAGACAAGGAATTTGGGAATACAAGTTATTTCTTTTTCTTATTTTTATTTTTTAAAAATATATATTTTTTAAATACTGAGGCAGAGTCACTATGTTGCCCAGGCTGGTCTCGAACTCCTGGGCTCAAGCAACCCTCCTGCCTCGGCCTCCCAAAGTGCTGGGATTACAGGAGTGAGCCACCATGCCTGGCCCCTAAGCACTATTTCTATCAAGTTGAGGGAAAAACAAACTTGGTAGAAAGTTTGTTTCTTTCAACAAACTTGTCCTTTATCTTGCTGTGTTCGATGTGCCTTCAGAAACAAGAATACACTCACTAATGGTTGCCTTTTCATGTCTGCAATATAGAGCCCTAGAATTCAAAGCCGCCTAACCAAACAGAGGCAACCAACCCTGACGTACTGAAATACACCACGTGTGGTAACTGGGCTCTCAGGATAAATGCTAAAATCCTTGGGATATCACGCCTGTAATCCCAGCACTTTGGGAGGCTGAGGCGGGCGGATCACAAGGTCAGGAGATTGAGACCATCCTGGCTAACACGGTGAAACCCCATCGCTACTAAAAATACAAAAAATTAGCCAGGCGTGGCAGCGGGCGCCTGTAGTCGCAGCTACTCAGGAGGCTGAGGCAGGAGAATGGCATGAACCCAGGAAGCGGAGCTTGCAGTGAGCCGAGATCGGGCCACTGCACTCCAGCCTGGCTGACAGAGCAAGACTCCATCTCCAAAAAAAAGAAAAATCCTTGGGATAAATGCTCTTGGGATAAATGCTAAAATCCTTTGGATAAATACTCTTGGGATAAATGCTCTTGGGATAAATGCTAAAATCCTTGTCAAGGCCAGCACAGCCCTGCATACTCTGACCCACACCTACTTCCCCAGCCTTGGACTCTCTTTGGCTTTCTCTGCTCTACCCAGGCTGGTCTTCTTTCAGTCTCACATGGTTGCTATATAACCCCCAACCACAGGGCCTCTGCACATGCTGTTTGCAGAATGGAATACATTTTCCCCTCTTTTTACATGGTAAACTTCCATTGCTGTTTCCTCCCTGACACCTCCCTATCCTCTCAAACTACGTGACATTTCTTTTGTAGATGTTCTCAAGGTACCTGATCTCTCTTTCACAGGACTTTACATGGTCTTTACACATTTTTTTATTTGCTTGTGTCATTATTTGACAAATAACAATAATAAAAATCCATTTCATTTTAGCTATGCTATTATACACATTTTTGGGGAGTTAGTAGGCCATCATGGCTTATCTAGAATTGATCATCTCCCACCAGACTCAGTGTATTGAGTTTGTGGGAACAAAATAATGTGTTTTCCCTCAGGAAACCACTAAAATCACTCAATGCACATATAATGTAAGCATTCAAACCTATCTTCCCCCAAACATTTTATTTGTAAAGCAGGGATGTGTCCTACACACCTATGCACCTCTTACGTAGCTGAAAATAGTGTTTATTTGTCCTCATAGAAGGAAAGGGGTTTATCTCAGGTAGAAGTAGAGCCAGCAATGTAACTCAAGGTCACAGCCAAGGGCTTTCCATTTGATAAAACTATTCTCTGGGAAGATCTACCCCCAGGGTATTTCATGAAGTCATTAGCACAATCAATTCCATTCGTTAACTATATAGCACCATTCTGCCAATAGAGCCAATCCGGATTCCATCCATCAGCAAGCCTAGTTGACTCAGCCTCCAAAATATATCACTTCTCTGTCTACTCTTTTTTTTTTTTTTTTTTTTTTTTTTTGAGACCAAGTCTCGCTCCGTTGCCCAGGCTGCAGTGAGCCAAGATCGTGCCACTGCACTGCAGCCTGGGCAACAGAGCATTACTGATCGTGCAGTGACGCGATCTTGGCTCACTGCCGCCTCTGCCACCCAGAGCAATTCTTGTGCCTCAGCCTCCCAAGTAGCTGGTATTAAAGGCATGCACCACCACGCCTGGCTAATTTTTTTGTGTTTTTAGTAGAGATGGGGTTTAACCATATTGGCCAGGCTGGTCTCGAATTCCTGACCTCAAATGATCTGCTTGCCTTGGCTTCCCAAAGTGCTGGGATTACAGGCATGAGCCACCGTACCCGGCCCTCTGTCTACTTATTTCATTCACTGTGACTACCATTCCAGTCCAAGTCACCATCAAAATGGTAGGCAGTGAATAAGCACTTTTGAAGAAATGTCTAAGTCTGAATGCAGACAGGGAAGCAGGAATAACTTCATAAGGCAAGGGCATTTAATTGGGGTCTTGAAGGATTAATCAGAGTTTTCTAGGAGATGAAACAACCTTGCAAAGACTCAGAGTCGTGAAAAGTCTTGGTAGGAACCATGCCATAAACAAGAAAATCAGCACAGCAGCAAACCTAACTGGTTTCCATTGACAAAAGAAAGGAGATGAAGAAAGAAGAGAGACAGAGAGAAGATAGAGGAAGAGAGAGAGAAAGAAAGGGGAGAAAGAAAGAAAGAAAGAAAGAAAGAAAGAAAGAGAGAGAGAGAGAGAGAAAGAAAGAAAGAAAGAAAGAAAGAAAGAAAGAAAGAAAGAGAAAAGAAAAGAAAGAAAGAAAGAGAAAGAAAGAGGGAGGGAGGGAGGAAGGAAGGAAAAGTAAAGAAGAGAGGGAGAGAGGAAGGGAGGGAGGGAGGAAAGGATGAAGGAAAGAAGGAAGGGAGGAAAGGAAGGAAAGAGGAAAGGAAGAAGGAAAGAGAGAAACAGAGAAAGGAAGGAGAGAGAGAGAAAGAAAGTAAAGAATGAGAGGGAAACAGAAAGAGAGAGGAAGGAAGGCAGTAAGGCAGGAAGGAAGGAAGGAAAAAAGTAAGAAAAGAGAGAGAGAAAGCAAGCAATCAAGAAAGCAAGCAAGAAAGCAAGAAAGAGCAAGAGAAAGAAAGCAAGAAAGAGAAAGAAAGGGAGAAAGGGAGAAAGTTAGAAAGAAAGAAAAGAGAGAGGGAGGAAGAAGGAAGGAAAGAAGGAGAGAGGGAAGGAAGGAAGGAAGGAAGAAGGGAAGGAAGGAGGGAAGGAAGGAAGGAGGGAAGGAAGGAAGGACGGGAGGGAAAAATAAAAAAGAAAGAATAAGAGAGAAAGAAAGAGAGAGGAGAGAGAAGAAGGAAGGAAGGAAAAAATAAAGAGAAAAAAGAAAGAAAAGAGAAAGAAAAGAAACCTCACCTCAAATTTCTGTCGCAGTTCTTCGTTGCCCTCACTTCCTTCTGGTGGCACAGGCACATTGAAGTACTCGCCTTCCTCCTGGCTCAGTAACTTAAACCTGAAGGGAGACAAGGGGGCAGGACAAATTTCATGACTCTATTTGATATTATTTTATTGATCAGGATATGAAAAGGAGGCCTATATAAAACTCTACTTCAAAAAATACATGTTGAGGGTTTTTTGGCTTGTTTTGGTTTGTTTTTCGGTATGTTGGATGGGGGCAGTGTGTGTGGTACACTACCAGGTACACTATACATTTTTGTAACTCTTCCATGAACAGCAGAAAAAAAATGTATATCATGTGTGCACAGGAGGGAAAGTTCTCACTCTCTACACACACTTATACAGTTTTCTTAGTTATATCGTTAAATCACTGTATATTTTTACCTACTTTTTGTCCATTAAGTAGTTTCTTAGTTTGAAAGAATGCTATGAAGACCCCTCATTGTAAATTGTTGATATTGTTGTCGTTGCTTTTAGAGATAGGGTCTCACTCTGTCACCCAGACTGGAGTGCAATAGTGCAATCATAGCTCACTGAAGCCTCAAGCTCCTGGGTTCAAGCGATCCTCCTGCCTCAGCTTCCTGAGTAGCTGGGGACTATAGGCTTGGGCCACTATGCCCAGCTAATTTAAAAAAAAAATTTTTTTTTTTTGGTAGAGATGGGAGCTGGCTATGTTTCCCAGGCTAGTCTTGAACTCCTGACCTCAAGTGATCTTCTCATCCTATCCTCCGAAATTGCAGGGATTACAGATATGGGCTGTCTGTAATCCCAGCTGCAAACCCCACTGCCTGGCTTTAAATATATTCTTGTCATGCTCTTCCAGCATTTCTACCTTTCACCCTACATAGGCTGCCACCTTGCCATCCTGGCACTCAACTGCATTTAGGTGACCATGGACTTAACTTCATGGTGCTATTTTCTCTGCAGAAGTTTGCCCAGAGTGTGCTGTAGTCAGTCTCTTGAGAAACGGCATCCCTTAGTGGTTAAGTGCACGAGCCCTGGAGTCAAACCATGTCTGGATGCAAATCTCATCTCATAACCTTAGACAGGCTGGTTAGCCTCTCTGGGCCTCTGTGTTTCTCATCTATAAACTGGAATACAAATTCCTTCTTCATAGAATTCTTGTGAAATTGAAAGATAATGACGCATGTAAGATGATAAGCACAGCAGCATTTGGCATTCAGCAAGTGTTCAATGAGTGGCATCATCATGATTATTATTACTGTGACTAATGTCATTATTATTATTTTAGAGACAGGGTCTTGTTCTGTCACCAAGGCTGGAGTGCAGCGGCACAATCACAGCTCACTGCAGCCTTGACCTTCTGGGCTCAAACAGTCCTCCTGCCTCAGCTTTCAACCAGCTGAGACTAAAGGCACACGCCACCACACCTGGCTGTTTTTGTTTTTGTTTTTTTCTTTTTTTTTTTCTTTTTTGGCAGAGATAGGGTCTTGCTATGTTGCTCAGGCCAGTCTTGAACTCCTGGGCTCAAGCAATCCTCCTGCCTCAGCATCCCAAGAAGCTGAGATTATAGGCACACGCCACCATGCCCAGCTACTACTAATATTATAATAATAAACATGGGGGCTTCAGTTTGTTTCTTGGCCACAAAGATTTTTCCAGCCAGTAAGAGGATGAGATGAGTGTGAGGAACGAAAAGGGACATTCTAAAAGTATTTGAATCAGTGGGAAAGAAAAAAGACCCCAGAACTGCTCGCTCTCAAAGATCATTCCTAACCAAAGTTTCAAATTTTCATCACAATGTTTTCTCTCCATTCACGAATCTTCTTAGGCAGCTTCCAAAAATGGGCTAGGTGATTCAAAGCAGACAAGACAATTTGAGCCTCTACGCCTCCACATTTAATATTCCAAATTTTCTTCCAAATTTCCACGGAAATTACCAAAAGAAATATAAACACAAGAGAGCATCTGTATCTTTGCTGGAAATCGAGAAGGGTGCTATCCACACAGCAGGGACTTCCAGGGATTCCTACAAATTAAAGTAATAGACAGAAAACAGAGCTATGTTGGGTAAATTTTAACTTTATCCATTCAGATGCTACCTTTGCGGATTTTGCTAGACTTGTGTATCAGTGTTGAAATATCTGTTTTGCTTTTTTAATAATAAATTTAATTTTAAAGGACACTTTTTATTTCTTCCTTAGAAGGAAATCCAAAATCACTTGTTACAAATAGAAAATAATTGTTAAAAACAAACAAAACAAAACAGAAAGATACACAGGTCATCGTCGTGGCTCATGTCTGTCACCCTAGCACTTAGAGAGGCTCAGGCAGGAGGATCACCTGAGGCCAGGAGTCCAAGATCAGCCTGGGCAACAGAGCAAGACCCTGTCTCCACAAAAAATAAAAAAATTTAGCTGGGTATAGTGGCGCACGCCAGTAGTCCCAGCTACTTGAGAGGCTGAGGTAGAAGAATCGCTTGCGTCCAGAAGGTCAAGGCTGCAGTGAGCTTTTATTGCACCACTGTACTCCAGCCTGGGTGACAAAGCAACACCCTGCCTCTCTCTCAAAAAAAAAAAAAAAAAAAAAAAGCCGGGCATGGTGGCTTATGCCTGTAATCCCAGTACTTTGGGGCCAAGGCAGGCAGATTACCAGGTCAGGAGATCAAGACAATCCTGGCCAACATGGTGAAACCCCGTCTCTACTAAAACTACAAAAAAATTGGGTGGACATGGTGGCTCATGCCTGTAGTCCCAGCTACTCGGGAGGCTGAGGCAGGAGAATCGCTTGAACCCGGGAGGCGGAGGTTGCAGTGAGCCGAGACTGCGCCACTGCACTGCAGCCTGGCAACAGAGCGAGACTCCGTTTCAAAAAAAAAAGATAAACAAATGGAAATCAAGGTTATGCATGTGCAAGCAGATGGTGTTGCTTACCAAAGGCTCTCAATCTAAAGACTGCCCCGCCCCCTTTTTAATGCGAGATCAGCAAAGAGCAAGTGTTAGAGTGTTAAGGATATACCAGAGCCCTCTGAGATTTTCTCTTTGCCATAATTTGAAGAATTGAAAGAACACTGACCAAAGAATTGCTTTCCTGGGGCACAATTCAATATTATTTATGCCCTGAGTGTGAACCATCTAGAGTATTTGGGGTCTCACACTCGTGAAAATACAGATAAAGGGGAATTGACCAGCTGTCATCCCTAAAAGGTGCTTCAACAGAGCCCAATAATGACCCTGGCTGAGACCATCAGGGACTGGGTGGGGGTCTCCAATTCCCATTCATATGCGGGACGAGAGATGTCAGCACCTGGAGCAGCGGGCAGGGGAAGGGTGCCACAACGTGTGTCCATGGTGGCCAGTACACCACAGAGTGAGTGAAGGATGCTGCCACTACTGCTTCCAAATAGGACACATGTGTCCCTTCAGAGAGGAACAGGACCCTTTCTGACTTTGAGATGTATAGAACCAACGTGGAGAAGATGGCTCTCCATCTGGCATGAAGGCTGCCTGTTATACACCTGTCTCCACTGTAGCCCTGCCCAAATGTCAGGAATAGGACTCCTGATCTGACAAAACAGAATTCAAAAAAATACAAAGCCTCCTGTCTCCCTTTATCCGGGTATGAAATGTTAGAACAAGGACACTTGTCATTTCTGTGCTCACTCTTCTATAAGTATGGGCAAATAAACACAATAGGACGTGTGAAAAATTCAGTCATTTAAATAGAAAGAAACAATGCAGAATCAAATTAACTCCCATGAAACGAAACTGCTGCCAAAAGAGAGAACATTCTAGAAACTACCTAATTCATATTTTCAATGAGATTCAAGGGGTTGGTGCATCTGTGAAAAGGGAACAAATATGACAGTGGGAAAGACCACTTTCAGAAAAAAAAATATAATCACTGAATTAAAAAATTCATTTGAGACAGTGAACACAGCATGGATAATTCAGGTAACAATTACTCAATGAAAAGAAAAACTTGAGAAATTTTTCTGGCAATTGACTTGATATTTATCATAATAGATTGGAGTTTAATCAAATGCTTTATATACCACTAAGAATGCATATTACAAACATTAATTTACAACATGAAAAGGAGGAATGTTGCAATATACATATGTCAGAAAAGACCTAGACCTATTAATAGTCTTCTCATATAAAAAGTTCTTACAAGTCAATAAGAAAAAGGCAAAAGGACATAGTCATATATAAATATAAACAAATGGCAATAGGCAAATGAAAATGTTCAACATAATTTGTAATATAGTATGTGTATAATCTTTGCATCATGTCTTTGAAATTTATAGCACTGGATGTTAATGTTAATAAACCAAAAAGCCTCTTACAAGATTGGTAAGACTGTAAATTGATTTTTAAAATTGTAGGACATTTTGACAAACACTTTAATGATGCATATATGCTTAAAGGCATCAATTCCTGGCTTAGAAATTTATTAGGAAATTATTAAAGCTGGGCACAAAAGTTTTGCCACAATTACATTTATTGCAGATTATTTTTAGGTGAAAAATGCAAGCTACCAAATAGTATGCACAGTAAGGTTTCACTTTTGTTTCACTCTCTCTATATAGGGTCAATAGTGGTTATGGGCACTGGGAATCTGGACAAAATTCTCTGATTTTTTATATTTTTCTAATAATTATTAAATAACAATAATGACTAACACTTACTGAGTGCTATGTAGCAGACATTGGGCACCTCATTTATATTAACTAATTTGATATTGCAACAATCCTGTGACATAATTACGACTATTATCTCCAAATGAGGAAACACAGCACAGAGAGGCTAAGTAACTTGCCAAGGGTACACAGCTAGGAAGTAGTACAGTAGAAATTCTAACCCAAGAAGTCTGATTCCAAAGCATTAGCTTTTTGTTGTTGTTGCTGTTGTTGTTGTTGTTTTTGTAGTAAGACCAAAATGTCATTATTAATAATAACAAAATAAAGTATTCTTAAAAAATGTAATATAACACTGATTTAAGATAATAGTTATCTGTTCAGAAGGAGATGGAATAAAAAAGAATGAAATAGGAAAGAAAAAGAAAACTTTAGAAACAGAAACACCATAAGAA